TACCTGTGCCTTTAATGTTTCTTTAATATAACTTGGCTTCCTTTGTGGCTAGAGACCATGAGTGCTCATGTTGATGTGACCAAATGAGTTTATAAATATACTAATCCCATCACTAGTGATTTTGCCCAGTGCTTGAGAATATTTACAAACACTGCACTCTTCCTCCTAGGCCACCCCCGTTTGGCTTCATTCATGCGTTCTTTATGTGTGTCTGATGCTGTCAGCACTCAGTTTCTAACTGTTGTCACCTTTTCCACATGTCCATTCCTTGCTGCCATTGACTCTCCTCCATTCCATCTCTACACCTTCTGCTTATGTGGTGCATCTACACCCAGCCCCCTAAAAAGGCTCTGGACTATGTTCGAGATCATTCTTCTGGTGTTTCCAATGAGGTAAAAACAAATTATTCTCTTTTTCAGATGTCTCTCTTAGGAGCTGATACTGTGATTCTGAACCATCCGTGTTGTAACAACTCACCACAGTGTCTAAGCTGTTTTGGAAAAATCTATCTTTGCATCATTGGGTCGTATCCAGCATCATTGCTTAGACATTAATCATTCCAAAGTTGTGGTTGGCTCTTTCTGAAACGTAGGTGAAGAATCATTCCAGCCGTCAATTTCCGTTGAACTATTCAACACAGTCCTGGTGTCCAGGAGTGTGACAGTTAAAAAAAATCAAAAGTGCACGCTTAGTGCTTGTATCAAGCATCTGTTTTGATTAGACGGTCAAAGACAACACAGAGCCATTTTGCCATCACGCTTGGAGGTGCAGAATGACAGTTAGGTTCTTAATTACATGTTTATGGCCCACATATTCTTAAAATTTATGTAAGTCTTTTCATTTTCCTAAATACGATTTGTGGATTTTAGCACCAGCTAGGATCAAGAATAGACTTGACAAACAACTGGGACGTATGTCCCGATTTCCCAGTTCCACATCCTTGACAGGTATTACTAATCCTTCTCAATGCTACCATCCAGGCAGCTACTGTAATGAGTTATAACTGGCAGATGAGATGAAACGCGTTTGCTGTCTCTGTTTTAGAATCCTCACGGCAATCCGCTAGGTAAAAAAATGTATGCCAGGCAGTGCCACATTTTATTTGGTTGCGTCAAAGAGAGTCTGAAAAAGGAAGAAAAAAATCCAGAGTCAAAGCTTTTTATCCTGATTTCTGCAAAGAAAAAAATGAAATGATTTTGGAAGGCAGATTTAAGACTTACTGGTTGACCTAAGCAAAAGTGACAATTTTGCTAAACATCAGCCTCCCTGTGGTAACTATTAGAAGCAGCTAGAATTGGAGCAGAGTATATAAACTGGTTTTACACAGTGGTTTCTCTGTGGTCCTAAGTATATTCAAAATCTATATTAATGATAAATAACATCGTCATCGTCTTAATAAATCGTCTTAATAAATATTATCGTCTTAATAAATAACTTATCGTCATCAAAAAGTCTTAACTGGGTTAAATACGTGCAACTAGAAAATAAAAGTAGGAAGACACCAATGCCTCAGAGAGTACTCTGGACACGCAGTGGTTGTGGGCACAATCTCAGCAGGAAATCTCCACCCCCTGAAGCTTCAATCTGCGATTCTGAACTAGGCATCAGAGCGCATGCTCAGACAGAGAAGTAATCAAAATATTTATATATTCAATAAAAAGCAAAATAGGATACTCAAGAACATTCTAGACTGCAGTCATTCCTAAAGGCTTATAACCCTAAAGACCATCAAATATAACAAGCAATTCTGTTTTGTATGTTATGTTACCTTCACAACTGAGGAAAGGCATTTCCACCTACGAAGGGAATGAGAATTTACTTTGGAATTCAGTCTGGTCAGGTATTTTTCTGATATGTTGGTCAGATAGTTCTAGAATGTTTTTAAGGTGGATCATTGAGAATGGGCAGAAAATTTTGAGATTACCAAGTCCAACTCAGTCATTTTTAAGTCAAGAAAAGTAGAGCCCAATGATTTTTTAAAATTATGTCCAAGATCACAAGGTCAGATGACAGCAAGTTAAAAATAAAACACAGATCTCATAGCCTTCACTTCCATGCCATTCCCTTTCTACCACAATTCTTAACACATCCAAGAGATGTATGTAGAATTCAAGACTTTAAGAAACAAGTTATTTACTTGATACTATTCCGTGTTAACTATTTTTGTGAAAAAAGTTCCCATAATTAACATTACACGATAACTCTTGGGCTAAAGATAGCAGAAACTTAACTCTGCATTCTACATGTGATGGTACTGGCAAAAAAAAGTCACATAAAAAAGCACTTTGCTGGTGGTTAAACTAATTTGCCGTTATGTCTTTGGAACTGAGAAGGACTATTGTATGATTCTGTAGCATATTAATTTCCCATTATGGTGTTTCAGTGTGTACAAAAATATTCTGATAAGGTACTGGAGTCTATCTTCAATATCCTTATGTAAAACATTTCTGGTAAAATCTGTAATTGATTACACATTACCTTAACTACCATTTATCAAGTGCCTAGCGTATGCCATGAATAACATACTTTCAAACCCATAAAACTGAGAAACTGGCATTAAAGGAGAACAATTAAGGACTTTTAAGCAAAGTTTAATCATATGATCACTTAGCAGAGTGAGTCAGTGTCCATACTGTATTAAAATGAACTTCATTTAGGTATGTTAAAATATGGTAATATATAAACTCAGTAGATCACAATAGGTAAAAGAGGTTACCTCTTTTCTGGAGACGATTTCCATTTCAGAATGAGTATCATTCACATAATTATCATCAAGTTTCTCTCTTAGTCGTCTATCTAGACCTTTTACTATTTCCTTGCAATTTAATATTGAACTTTTTCCTTTGACCTTACATAAAAATCACAAAATTGGTTTCAGTTTATTTTGGATTGTGGAAACCAGCACAAGGAGACACCATTGTAGTTTCTTTGCCTACATCTAAATCACCATTGATTTGTCAATAAGAGCTGTCACTGCCTAGTCTGTGTTTTATCCCACATTACAATTTTGTTTAGGCTCATTCCAAGCTGGCCATTCAAAGTCACTGATCACTCTGGGGTGATTACGGACGTTCTGCAATCGACACTTCTTGACAACCAGCTACGGTTTGTCATTGGGTTGTCCACGAAGGTCGTGATCCACACAAGCCGCAAGGCTCTGAGGCCCTTTGCTGTTGCTCTTCCACAAACATATAGAATTAATATTTCTACACCAGAATATAATTTGTTTACTTGTTTGCTTTCCTTCTTATTTAGTATTCATTTTTTTCACCTTTCCAGGGTCCAATCCAGAGTTCAGCAAGCTAAGTCATCATGTACATTCATCAGATTAGTGGACTGAATTTTTTTCTTCTAATTTTATATTCGCTGAGAACCTAGGAATCTAAATGTTTTCTAAGAATTACAAATATTAGAATATGCTTTTTCTGTCTAGAAGGAAGGGAGGATGTTCTCTAGCAGAAAGGTGCTTTTGTTTGCTTCTGGGCAAGGTTCCATTCTCACTCAGTAAGATGGAATTAAATAAAAATATTAATTAACAATCAATTTTAGAGTTACGCATAAGAGGGCTTGTCAGACTGATTTACATAAAGAATCTACATAAAGAATGTTAATATTCTAATTGGTTAATTGGTGCTAATTTATAAGTAGAAAATAAAGTTATGGAAATAGTTTTTAAAGTGTGGCTTAATTTCCACCAAGTGGGTTTGTAATACTCTGGTAAAATATTTCTATGTGATGGGAACTTTAGATGAAATCTGTCAAATCCTGCTCTTTTGGGCTGACATTTTTAAACTTCCATAGGGAAGCACATTTTCAAGCTAGAACTTCAGTTCTTCATCAGACCAAAGTTTGGGATAAATAATTGACTATCAAATATGCCCCAAAGCAAGACAATATATATATATATACATATATATATATACATATATATATATGTATATATATATATATACACAATATCATAATATTATTTATATATAATAATATTATATATATAATATCACACATATATACTTGTATATACATTTCCCTGTACATTCTAGACATCACCCCACAACTACTTTCGCTCATCTTGCATTGTCATTTCAAATACTCAAGAACTCAATACAGATCTCTCTTGCCTTAGATATTTCAATGTTTATTCTGGTAGATGGTCGTGGGGAGTGAAAAAGTCCTATCTAATATTTTTGCCTAATATCTATTTCACTGTACTCTTCAGTGCAGTACAATTGAGTATGAAAATGGTGTGTACAATAAGCATTTGGAATTATGTATCAATTTGTATTTTCTATTTTTCTTTATTCCTACAATTGAGAGTTGATGTTCTCATGAAAATTTTAAAAATCTACCTCTTTTTTTAAAAAAGGTTACATTTTGGTTTATTAATCATTTATTTTAAATCGACCCTGAACTTAACTATTTTGAAAGATGCCAGTCTGCCCCTGATTTAAATACCAGGCAGTTTAGTTTAATTTCAAACCAAATTCTGTGGTATTATTAAGATGCCATGCCTGTGTTGACAGAGGAAAGATGTCTCAAGTTCTGCTTAAATGTTATATTCTAAAGAGAATACCAGGCAACATAACGGAAAAATTATAAAGAAGGTTTATGTTGTATAAGGGCTGAATGATGATTACAAATATTTTTTTAAACGTCAAACCATTCCTTGATGCAGAAAATTTCTATTTACAGTCTATTTCCTATATGAAGGAGTGCTTAACGACTTTTCTTTTCTCTACCAGGCAATGTTTGGGCTGTGGATAATTTGAGTTAGGCAGAAAAATACAGTGTGGTATATCAAAAGAGAAAGTGGATAGAAAGAAAGTAGAAATCAGGTTACATGTTTTCTCTTTGAAAGACATTTTTATGATCAAGATAAATGGGATTTTTCATCTCAGCTTTTATAATACTCTTTTTTAGGATACCTAGTTTAATGTCCAAGGACAAATGAAATTTTGCCCTGGTAAAATTTTCATGGAACTATTTTTCTATCTTAACAGGCCTCCCTGTATCAGTCCTCTATAGACAGAAGCCTGGAAAGACCTACTAGGTAAGAATGTCATTGCAGCGTGCAACCAGAATATTATATACCAGTGATCTCTCTTTTAATAGTAATGCTACTCAGCAAAATAATAACGAGGGTTATGTCATCACTCATTATTATATGGAGCACCATACTTTATGAAGTTGTTTCATTTTGTTTTTACGTCATTTCATATGTTTATAAAAATTAAATGAAATAATTCTGGATTCCTTTACTGAGAAATTCTTCCCTTCCCTGTCTCCTCTAAGCTCAGTTTTCTTTTCTTTGAATGGGAATTATAAAATCTAATTTTCAATATTATTAGGTGACGCTTATGATAGTATATTTGAAAAATGTATAAATTACTAGAGAATTTCTAAATTATGTTCTATATATTACATGCTCACCACATAAATCAGAAACATTGTTACTACAATAAATGGGGTCTTATTATATACTAGACATTCTAAGTACATAAACATATTCGATCCTTAAGATACCACAGTGAGCTAAGTGCTATCCTCCCCACTTTATCTCTGAATAAACTAAAATTAGGCCTTATGACTTACCAAGTTCACACCATGGGCAAGGAGCAGAGACAAACTAGAATTGAACCAGAATAATCTGGAACCACTAGTCCTAACTGTTCTAGAAGTCTGCCAAGATAAGTTCTGATGGTTGGCTTTAAATATCACACTTACTTCCTAGCACTGCAGAAATTCATTCACAGTTCAATAGCAATGGTGATTAATACAAACTCTCAGCCACATTGTACATCAACAACAAGCCGTAGGGAAACCGTGAGGTAAGAGAAATTTGTCTCACCAGATGTCTTCCTTTTCAGAGTCTTTTCCTCCCCTGTGGCATGTTGTGGGAACTCCTTCTTTAGAGAGAAAAGATACGTGGCACAAACCACAACACTGTATTGTCGGTCACAACATCTTGCACTAAAAGGAGTTTTTTTAATTTCAAAACATTATTATAGTCCAAGAGACAAGGCAGAGGATCATAGGGGAAGACAGGAAAAAACAAAACAAGAGGAAACCACAGAGGCAGACAAACCATAAGAGACTCTTAATCTCAGGAAACAAACTGAGGGTTGCCAGAGGGGAAGGGTCGGGGGGGATGGGGTGACTGGATGATGGACTTTGTTTCATAGTGTATAAGACTGATGAATCACAGACCTGTACTCCTGAAACAAATCATACCTTATGTATTAATAATAAAAATATGCAAAAAAATTAAACATACTTAAGGTCAGTACTTTCAAGGAAATAAAAATAAAATAAAAATAAAACATGATTATAAACACATAGCCACACACACCCCAAAAAAACCAGCACATGGATATTTATAACAGCTTTATTCATAACTGCCAAAACTTGACGTGACCAGAATACTGTCCGGTAGGTTAGTTGAGATAGAAATTTGTGCATCCATATGAAGGAACAGTTTTCAGCAATAAAGAGAAAGGAGCTAGCACGCCGCCAAAAGACACAGAGAAATCTTAAAATCAGGAACTTCGGTGGGAAACAGCCTTAACATAAACTACGGACTTTAATTACATTTAGTAACAATGAGTCAAGATGGTTCATCAGCTGTCACAAACACATCACAGGAGCAGACAATGTCACGATGGGAGAATATGTGTGCACGAGGAAAGGGAGCTTAGGAGAACTCTCTGTACTTTCCAATCGATTTTTCTGTAAACTTAACACTTCTCTAAAAAAAAAAAAAAAAGACAGCCTATGAATTTTTTTATAGAGAGGATTATAAAGAAATAGTGTTTAGTAGCAAGGAATGCATTCTTAAAACTGCTGTTTGGGGGGAAGTGAGGGAAGAGACGTTCTGTCGCTAACGCTTCCCATCAGTCCTTCTGAGTCACAGGGGAACCTCCTCCAACACCAGCCTAAACCAAGCCAATTCCTTCTTTTAGTTCTGCGAGCATGGCCAGTGACTTTAGGAAAAGGAGGAAGAGCGAGCCTGTGGTGGGGCAGCCCAGGGGCTTGGATCCAAGTGCGAGCAGGACCAGCCCGGGGCGAGCGGACCTCCCGGGACCAGGCGGCCCCGTGACAAAGTCTTTCATCAGTTCTTCTCCTCCTTCCCCCTCAAGAGCAAAAGGTGAGCGACCATAGATTGACATGTAAGCAATTTACTAGCTTAACTTTAATCGAGGGTACCGTGTGAGGGCTGGTCCAAGATAACCATTCAGAAAGAGTTAACATTTAAATACAGCATCTTGAATACAATTTGGTTTCAAAACAGTAATTTATCTTTTTTACACAGACTAGGTCAAGTTGGCGGGCCATTTGATGGCTCCATCTAGCCTAAAGACGCTTTCTTCTTCCAAATAATCCACTTGTGGGTTTTTCTTGAACAAATTCGAAGGATCTAACTTACTGTCGGGCTATTAAAAGATTACATTTATAAATATTTGCATACTGTCAAAAATGTTCTAGTATTACTACAGCCAGCAAAGTTAATCACATTTCTAGACTAGGAATTAGAAGTAGCAACCAAGAACGTTGTTGCCTAAAACACTTTGATTTGGGTGTGTTTTTTTTTTATTTAGTTCTAGATAAAAATGTGTCTGACCAATTAAAATTGTTTCTTTAGTAATCTGTTCTATATTTTGGTGAACATTTATATAGACAGTAGAATATCTGTGTTCCACATGGAACATTGTGTTTGATTCAGAACATTCCACCAGTAAGACCTAACTGGTTTCAAGCCATACTTAGAAAAGTTGAGATAACACCAAGTCATTTTTCCATATGGCCTGTCTCCTCTCTGTAAATTAGATGAGCTGTGTTGAGAGAGGGCAAGTCTCTCCTCCAGGTCTCTGAAAGACCGTTCAGTGCATTATTGCTGGGCTAACCAGAACATTCCCAAGATGGAGACTGAGGCTTGAACTGACGTCTACAAGTATCTGAGGCCATACCACATTTGGGGTCCCACAATCTCCCCCAGTCTCCTAGGCTTGAAACAAAATACCAAAGGAATTTGAAGTGTGTGACGAACTTGAGCTCTAACAGAGGTTTCCATAATACAGCACAGACTCAGCTACCCTTACCAAACGTAAGCGCTTAAAGTGTGCCATGTGGTGATTAAAGCTAAGCAGTAGCTGGTCTATGGGCAGAAGACAGGCAGGTCTGGACAACTGGACTCTGGGTGGGTGGGAGGCACTAGCCATCTTCCCAGTAAAACTGTGCATATTATCTGGAACGTTCAGAAGGAGTGAGCCCCTCTCATGACACCTTTCATCAAATTCACTGAGATGCTTGGATCAGATTCTACTCATTTTTGCAAATGAATGCCTTAAGAAAATAAATAATTCATGAAATACCACTGATTCATTACACTTGGATAGCACCCAAAAGTTAAAAGGATTCTGATTAATTTAGGTAATTGTTTTTATCCCAGGGAGTATTAAGTCAACTTCTTTTCCCAGATATTACATATCTACTCAATGTGCTAATCTGCTTTTGAAAAATGTGGGTAAGATTGTAAGGCAGGAATCAATACAGATATTTTCCTTCATGAGGTTCCCTTCTGAGAAGGAAATTTCCCATTAGATGTACTTTGGTCATTTGTTTATTAGTGAACTCGGCACAGCAAAAGAGTCTTTCCAAACATCTTCTAAATTGAGGTCAGTTTTAGCTCTCTATTACCAAATTGCAAATTATTTAAAAAAAATCTCCCTGTAAAAAAGCAAGATGTGTTTACCTCTGAAGGAAGTTTTATATTATATCCCCTTACCTTGCCTCATAAGAGGTTAAAAGTGGAGCAATTAAAGAGGTAAATTCATTTATTTAAAGATGTTCCACTTGTGTTTTTTCCCTTGGAAACATATTAGCAGCAACAGTGCACAACATCTTGGTTTTGCAAATTTTGAAAATTTATATCACCCTTTTTGCATCTAATGCCCATGAAAAATTATTTGGTACAGTTATGGGACTGGCACTTCAAAGCAAATTTATAAATTACTCTTATTCTCTGTCGTTATGAATCAACTGAGACTCAAATCCTGACCCTATTAAGTTGATTAAATCGGTAGCACTTTTGGCCTTAATTGTTCAAACTTGAAATGACGACCCGGGCATGCTATAGATTAGCTTTCAAGGTTCGCCGTGTTTGCCGGAAGATGTGTGAACACCATAAAAATAGGTAGATTTGCTACATTACCTTTTATACAGTGTTTTGTTGACTCTCATATCTGCAAAGCTACCTTCATTGAGAAAGTATTACCTTGCTTTAGAATCTGGCTTTTTTCTCTAGAGTTGAAGCTACATGTTTAACAGTCGGTGTCTAGATCAAACCATGCTAACTTCTTTCTCTTTGCTGTGCTTGCTGTCTGTTGCTAAGTGACACGCTCTCCTCTTTGTGAACCTTTTAACTTCTCCAAATGTCTCTCTTCCACCACGCTGCCCTGGATTAAAAGGTGGGGATGATACATGTCCGTCCCTTTACAGTTACTCAGGGCTCAACGGCAACCCCTCCAATGAGTTAGATTACTGTAATGCTTACAGACAGCATTTGGACGTCCCTCGTGACTCACAGAGGGCCATTACTTTCAAGAACGGCTGGCAGATGGCCCGACAGAATGCAGAGGTCTGGAGCAGCACTGAGGAAACGGTGTCCCCCAAAATCAAATCCCGCAGCTGTGACGATCTCCTAAACGATGACTGCGATAGCTTCCCCGACCCCAAGACCAAGTCAGAGAGTATGGGTTCTCTGTTATGTGAAGAGGACTCCAAGGACAGCTGCTCTATAGCGTGGGCCTCCCCCTACATCCAGGAGGGTCGGAGTAACGGCAGGTCAAGGTTCCGGCACAGGTCAGCCCACAACGCCCCGGGGTTCCTCAAAATGTACAGGAAAATGCATCGCATTAACCGCAAGGATTTGATGGCGTCCGAGGTGATCTGCTCCGTCAAGTCGAGGATAATGCAGTACGAGAAGGAGCAGCAGCACAAGGGCTTGCTGCACGGATGGAGCCAGTCCTCCACGGAGGAGGTGCCCAGGGACATGGTCCCCACCCGCATTTCTGAATTCGAAAAGCTGATTCAAAAGTCCAAGTCCATGCCCAATTTAGGAGACGAAATGTTATCTCCCATCAGCCTAGAAGCTCAACAAAATGGTTTATGTCCCAAGAGGCGATTTTCCATTGAGTCTTTGCTGGAGGAAGAAGGTCAGAGCAGACACGCTTCGCATATGCAGCGGAGCTACGAGCCCCAAGCCCTGGTACCGATTCATATCGAGGTCACCAGTGACGAGCAGCCCAGAGCGCACGTGGAGTTCTCCGATAGCGACCAGGACGGCGTCGTGTCTGACCACAGTGATTACATCCACGTTGAAGGATCGTCCTTCTGCAGTGAGAGCGACTTCGATCACTTTTCTTTCACGTCCTCTGAAAGCTTCTACGGGTCCAGCCACCATCACCACCATCACCACCATCACCATCACCGACACCTGATCAGCTCCTGCAAAGGCAGATGCCCGGCCTCCTACACCCGGTTCACCACGATGCTGAAACACGAAAGAGCCAAACACGAGAACACCGAAGAGCCCAGAAGACAAGAAATGGACCCTGGGCTCTCGAAGCTTGCATTTCTGGTCAGTCCCGTGCCTTTCCGGAGGAAAAAAAATTCGACGCCCAAAAAACAGACTGAAAAGGCAAAATGTAAAGCTTCTGTATTTGAGGCCCTGGACTCTGCCCTTAAAGACATTTGTGACCAGATTAAAGCCGAAAAGAGGAGGGGAAGTCTGCCAGACAACAGCATCCTGCACCGTCTCATCAGTGAGCTTCTGCCGGATATCCCCGAAAGGAACTCGTCACTTAGAGCTCTGAGAAGGAGCCCCATGCACCAGCCTTTCCACCCACTGCCTCAAGACGGTGCTATGCATCGTCCGTTGTACCAGAACGATTGTGGGAGAATGCCTCACAGTGCCTCTTTCCAAGACGTGGACACCACCACCGCCAACTACCGTCACCAAGACCATGACAGTGCACGGAGTCTCCAAGGTGGATGAGCTTTTCTTTCTTTTTCCTTGTGGTTCAGACACCCGCCATCCAGTTCTCTCACCTTCCATTCCTACATCTCATCATTCCTAAGCCGGGAGACCACCTGGCATTGTTATGTGTTTTTTGAAGCAAATGCTTGTTGTGCAAACGGGTCTTACTAGATCGCGTCATTTGTCCATGTGCTATCCGGGCTCCATGTGTGGCTTAAAGTGATCACTAATTCACAAAAATTTACTCATTCAAAATCAAAAGGGAAAACCATCTCGTAGCTTAATGTTAGGGCTGCAACCACTTACATCAAAACACCAAATTAAACTTATTTTACCAATTTAAGAGGGTTCCAAGACAGAGACCATGATTGAGTATCAGTATCCTTAAGAGACTGACAACTCTTTTTTTGTGGTAAAGTGAATCAAAACCAGTAACTTAACAAATAGCTTTTTCCTTGATTTTTACGTTAACTTTATAAAGTTATATTCAATAAATAATTTGCTTACATGCAATGTAAAGGTACTACATCAAAACACTGAGGAAGCAAAATTGAAGTATGTCATGTAGTAATTGATGGTCAATGAGAAAAGAATAGGATTTGTTTAATGACTTTCTTCATTTAAAGGACATAATGGGATAGAAGTTTTGTGAATGCATCTTTAAGCTATATATACAGAAATCTCATCTCCATCACTCAGTGTATTTCATTTTCTCTGTCTTTCCATATCTTAATTTATTTGTTTTCTATTTCCGCTAAAAGAATCTTATATTGACATTTGAATTAGACCATGTAGGTAAAAAGTGACTCCCAAGTCCATTGTCATAGATGAATTATCCCCTTGAAGTGGCAACACAAGGACAAATAACAGTTCAAATGCAGAGGACTTTTTTGAGATTTTGGGGGGTGTTTGGGCATTTTTCATACAATCTTTATACAATTCTTTTGGTTAATTCCTAAAGTACATCCGTTTACTATGTAAATTTTAAGAAGCTGGAAAGAATATTCCATGCTGAAATTTGGATTATCAATAGTCTTCTATGCACGGAACACTGCAAAGTGCTTTACAAATGTCATCTAAATAACACCAGCCTGAACCTAGGTGATAGATGTCATGATAAGCATTGTCTTATAGTTCAGACCCAGGGAAAGCAAGATTTGACCAAAGTCACTTAGGGAGTAGGCAGGAGAAAAGAGATTCAAATTCCTAGTAATTCAGATTTTATAGTCTAGAATATAATCTCTATAGTTAAAAAAATCAAATTTCATATTAATGTAGTATGTTAACTGCCATTGCACACATTTGCTTATTTTATTAGTGTTTATCTTTGCTTTCATTTATACTGTACAACATGCTTCAAAAATAATAAACCAGAATTTTTTAAATCAATGCCTACAGTTTGAAATTTTTACCTATTGAGATTGAGATGTCATAGTTTAAGTTTTTAATTAATTAGCTACCTTTTCCCAATATTGGACAATTCCAGTTATTCAGTTAGGTAGATGAATAATAATCATCCCTTCTAAATTTTATGCACAGGTAGAGTACATTATTGAAACATGATTTGAGGGAGCTTCGAGAAGCATTTAATGAAATAAAATATTTACTTTCCAACTTTGTTTAGCCCAGTTGAAAAATAGTTTATATTCCAAGGATGAGCAAAAGTAATTTACAATTTAATGATCGGTATGAGAGCCCTATGATCGTAAAAGTATATGATTTAAAACGGAAAATAAATGGCACGTAATCCTCTCTCACTCTTGAAAATAACTGATTAAGTTTTACCTGAAATATTTGTGGCCATGCTACCTTATTAAACCTAAAGACTTTGGAATTCACAACTAATAAAGAGTTAGACCTTTATCCTTATGTTGTCGCATAACTGATATCCCACCTGCTTTTAAGCAGACAATTCTTCCTTATAGTCAAAGCTGTCAAAATCTTTAAACAATGCTTTCCTTTTATGAATTGGCATTTTAAATTCCTTTATGGCTGTATTTATTTTACTTTTAATGCTTCTTGTTAACCAATATAACTAAATTTATTAAAGGCCAAAAGAAAGAATTTACTAATTTTGACCCAGGTATACTGGTAGAATTCTTTAACAGAGATTACTGGGGTACTTTTAGCCTCTAGTTACATTTCCACATATCAATGTGTAAAGTATGAGACCATTAAGAGATACTTGTAATCACAATTTTGTAATATAACTATTTATACTTTGTTTTAAGGTGAACAGAAACAATTCAGTATTTCATAAGCAGTTTGGCAACCAACATGATACTGTCTGTTTAGAGAATTTTTATCCCTTTGTTTCTTGGAATAAAAAATACTTTCTGATAAGGTACTTGAGCAAAAGGGATGGCAGAAGATACAAAGTTTTTAACCCTTTAAATGACATCTTCGATTTAACACCTTAGATTTAATGAGGGGTGCAGCAAGAAGGGCGGGGGGAAGGGACACATCCATAGTTCTGCCATCACTGTACTTTCTTTTTTTATTTTTTCTTTTTCATTACTGCATTCTTAAATTGTTCCACAAAATGTTTTAGTTTTTGTAAACTGTTGCTATTTTCAAATTGTCCATCTTCTATCGGTCCCATAGAGCAAAAGGAAAAGAAAGTATTAAGTCTTTGAGATGGGAAATCCCCAGGACTATGAATTGTCTACAACGAGTGCTGCAGCATAAATACATCAACAATGTAACAATTATATGTGTGATTAGAACACTTCTGCCACCTCGGATATTTGTCCCTTTTGAAATGTGCTGGTTTTGTGTCTTTTTTCGCAACTTTGTAATGACCTATGAGTTTTATACCCATGTCTTCCATTGTGGTGTCTCTCGAAATCTGAAGGAGAAAATAGTTGCCACCAGGGAAATGGCAAAAAGGGTCAGCTTTTAATTAAGTGGATACTCACTCCGGCCCCGTCCTCTCCCACAGACCACGAGTCCCCTAGAAGTTATGCATCCACCATGACTGACCTGGGGAGAAGCGCACCTCGGGAAAGAAGAGGAACTCCGGAAAAAGAGGTGGTGTGTTTAGTGCTACTTGAGTCTTTTTTCTGCAGCGTATTTGGCAAAGCACTTGTCAGCCGCGAGGCTTCTCTGAGTCTTGAACTGACACCCATGCATGAACAACGGAGCTCTGCGAGAGTCTCGAGCTGGGTTGCCCCACAGAGGAAGATTTCCCTGTACAAATGTCCCCACTGATGTAGGGGAGAGCCCTAGGTCATCTGTGTTGCAAAGCCATACAAATTGGACATAACGATTTTTGCTGGCCTGCTTTTATTGGAGAACATCTCTGAAAAATCGAGGCTCCTAGGAATGGCCTAGCTCTTTGTCCGTGGCCCTGGCTCAGGGCCGGAGCTCTGGTGCGTGCTCTCTTGGAGCTGTTTGATGGCAGCTGAAAGCAAGTCTCAGACCAGCAGTCAATCCAGGAGAATCACTAGGCTGTGTCTCCTATAGTCTAGAGCCTGTGGGACCCCAGAGAAGTCAAGAATGTTCCAGGTTGCCTGAAGTTCACAGAATCATGAGGAAAGAGAGTGGGGAGGAGGGATTACTGGGAAGTGGAGAAGGAAGATCTGGAGTGGCTAGCTGTGGGGAATAGGGTGATTGAAGGAGAGTGTGTATCACGCCTTGTCATGACCAAAAGGCTGGTTTACCATGTGCTCAAGATGATCCAGTCTGTGCTTTGGGTCACTAACTAGCTTCCCAGTGATAACTGGGCTAAGATTTCTTTGCTACTATGTTGATAATTGTTTAGTAAAAGGGATTGATGGTCTCCTTCGTAACTCTTCCCAGTCTTTTCATTATGATTCTGAAGGAGTTATGTCGATACGTAGAACCTAGAGCAACTAACCCTCGGCATTATCCCGGGAAAAGCCAGATTCATCCCTGGGACAGAACCCTTGGCAGAGCCCTATTTATCTTCCTTAGTTTCTAAGATGAAATATGATATTCAGTGGTTATGATGAAAAAGTCATCTACTATGTTCCTGTTATCACTTAAATACCTAAATGAAGGACTAATTGGTTGATTGATAAATTGCATAAAGGATTTACATATGTTTCATCATTCTTTGTGATTTAATTTCCCTTTGATTCACATGAAATTACTTTCTTGAAAAAAAAATCCAAATTGTGAGTGCTAATTGTTTACCTTCCCTTTCAGAAATTGCCTGCAAAAGCTGTTTATGATTTTAAAGCTCAGACATCTAAGTAAGTAAGATAAGTGTTGCATTATACAACTTAGGGTGGCTTAAATACTTCAGTAATATCTAAGAGGTAAATATTGCAGTGAGATGTATCACAAATAAGGTCTAAGTCCCAATTGAGCAGTTGGCTGTAATTAGTGTTTCCTTCACAATTAACTGGGATGGGGTTGATTTTATTTTCATCTGAAGTTTAATTGACAAACATTGAGTTTTAAATGACATTCAACATGTTAGAGCACCATGAGTTCAAAAGGATAGGAAAACAAAAGTGATATTAAGAATCTTTGTTTCTAGAATTTTAGTGTCAAGAATGAAATAAAAGTAAAATGTTGGTGAGTAAACACTACCTGAGAGAATTTGATAACATTTATTTATCCAACCATATCCAGGATAGTTTGCAGGGTAGAAGAGTAGAACAGTGAACAAAGATTCCCATAGTCAAACCTCCATGTCTTAACACTTTAACATTGAGATTCTGAGCAAAATTTTCACCTCTGGTCTTTTTTTTTTTTTTTAAGATTTTTATTTATTTATTTGACAGACAGAGATCACAAGTAGGCAGAGAGAGGAGGAAGCAGGCTCCCCGCAGAGCAGAGAGCCCGACGCAGGGCTCAATCCCAGGACCCTGGGATCACGACCTGAGCCGAAAGCAGAGGCTTTAACCCACTGAGCCACCCAGGCGCCCCTCACCTCTGGTCTTTTGATGTTGGTGTTTTCATACTCCTGTGGGGCAGTATTTTTTTTTTTTTTTTTTGGCCTTTTGTACTTGGGAACTTGTTAATCAGATGGTCATGTGTTAGTACTAAGCACATAAAGAGGCTTAAATAGGAGGGAACCTTCCAGATTTGTCGTGGCCCATGTGTACAGACCTGATTTCAGAAACTCTGATCTCCATTAGAATTCAAGATATTGAAACAGTTGAATATTGGCATTAAATTATCTTGTGTTGTTCAGACAGAATATTTATAATAATAAAATATTTTATTCATAAAAATGTATATTAATATTATATTAATCAATTAATAGTTCTAGAAACTGTCTCTGCTATAAGACATACAAAAAATAAAATCACTCAGACGTGGGTAATACTGCTGAGATGGTGAATGAACTAAATAGGAAAATGCTATCTAGAAATTAAGATGGCTTAAAACTAGTGTTTAAAAAAATCCTGAAGAAAAGCTTACCTACCCTTTTTCTTTTCTTTTTTTTTTTTTTTTTTTGATGACATAAGTAACATCTGCTTTGTTTGTACTACGCTCTAGTAGCTATGACCATGCTCTTTGGATACAGTGTGACGATTTGTATGATACATGCCAATTTTACAAAATAATGACTTAGAACATGTAAATTTCATTTCTTCCTTGTGACAAGAAATCAGAATGTATGAAACCCTGAGGAATGACAGGGCACATAACACAGGAAAGGTATCCACCCAGGGCCCTCAGTTTTTTAAGAAGGCTTAATAAAAAACAGGCTTTGGGAGAAAGATGATGTATAGTGCTGAGGGAAGTGTTTGGGGTGTTCACTGTGTCCCTGGATTTTGTTTGCTCCAAGTGCCAAGCCTTCTGCCGTCCTCCAAGGCCCTGCCCTCATTGCAGAAGCTCTGAGTTAGCAAAGGTTCAAGGCTGGCAAATGGCGCACAGCCTTTCTGAATGGTTGTCTATGCCACCCCCCACCTTTCACGAAAATCTTTCGACACCTGCAAAATCGAATTGCATAAGCCTTCAGAGCAGTCGATCCAATAACCACCCATGGAAGCCAACCCATATTTTTTGTAAAAAACAAAAACAGAAACAAAAAACGTTTCCCACATACCATGAGTAAGCTGGTCTGATGGCTGCTTAACCATATTCCTCTGGTTCCGTTCTCAGGAAATGTAAAGAGCAGTCAGTCCCCAGTGTAGTCGCCCTATTTGACACAGAAATTGAGGTTATGGATGACTTGTGCAGCTTTAAAAGGCTCGCACCCCCAGAAGCACTGAATGTCCTGGAAATGCTGTTAATTAATAGCTAGATGTGAGTGCTTTTCGTGCCTAACATAAACAAGAGACCGATAGATGTATCTGTTTTAAATAAATAGGTTTTAAAAGCTATTTTTCCTTTCCCTAATGCAAAATGTTTAATTTACAAAAACGCAGCTCAGTAACTCACCCAATGTAATCTCTCAATTGTAAAATAGGAAAAAGAGATAAAATGTCATTTCCAAAGGTTGTCAATGGCCTCGATTCAGAAGGTTTAGGGGAGGGAGGAATCAACCTTTACCATAATGGGGCTCAGAAAATCTAGGTCTGAGATGAGAGACACAGTTTTGAAAACTGTTAAGTGAGATTTCTGTCCTTTATCTAGAAGCCTTCAAAATTTTAAACACAAACCTTTAAAAATAGATCTGATTTCTTTTCACATTGAAAAGAAAAAGTTTTCTCTAATGGACATTTAAAAACAAAAAGCTAAGCTTCCTAGTCTCCTTTCCAGACACAAAACACACCTGGTGCTAAGAAAGTTGTTGGACTGTAAACATGATCCTGGGATCATGACCCGAGCCAAAGGCAGAGGCTTTAACCCACTGAGCCACCCAGGTGCCCCTGCACTTTTAGTGTGAATATTTTAGCACTTCTAATTGCTCAATCATTCTTTTAATATGCAACATCTTTTTTCCAATTAATTCTTTTAATCAATAAGAAATATTCTACATCTGACATCTACCTGTCTCTTCTTTATCTATTCGGCATCAATAAACAACCCAACTCCACGTTCTGAATGAAACAATGCAGAAGATCCAAGAGTGGGAAGGCCGATGTCTAGGAAAGTGGGGCTCTTGGGAAAAGATGGGAAATAAGTGTCTTCCAACAAAACATAATTATGGAGACAAAACAACAAACAGACACAATTCCCTGGGTAACGAAGCCGTAAAAAACAGACGCAGTGAGGGTGAGCAGGCAGGTGTGAATTCTCCAAAATAATCAATGTCTTTAGAACTTAAAATTACATTATCCACATTTACCGGCTTAGGAAAAAGCAGGTAAATAAGCTTCTTCTTTGAAAGAGCCCAGATGGAAAACCATAGTTACCATCTTGAAAATATTTTTATTTTTTTAAAAACAAGGTGCACCATGTGTGGCTCAGTCAGTTAAACGTCCGCCTTCAGCTCAGGTCATGGTCCCGGGTCCTGGGATCCAGCCCTGCATCAGGCTTCTTGCTCAGTGGGAAGCCTGCTTCTCCCTCTACTTCTGCCTGCCACTCCCCCTGCTTGTGCTCTCTCTATAGATATCAAATAAATAAAATCTTTAAAAGAAAAAGATCTAGGGGTGCCTGCGTGGCTTAGTCTATTGATTATCTCAGGGCGCTGGGACTGAGCCCCACATCCAGGCTCTGCGCTCAGTGGGGAGTCTGCTTCTCTGCCTCTCTCCCCCCAACTCATGTGCACTCTCTTTCTCCAGTAAATAAATAAATCTTGTTAAAAAAGGTACAAAGTAGGCAACAAGCAATCTGTGTATGTCTTTACACTCAAAACATGTTTCTCTCTGTGCTCCACTAAAGAACAAAAGATCTTTCTCTTTACGCAAAACACATTCCTCATCAAAACATTCCACTTAAATGCCTGACAACCAGCTTCAAGGACCCATAAATAACAATTTTCTGGTGATGGTCCTTGTGTCTACAGCTCAGTATTGATTTTCCTTATTGTAAGCTTTAGCACATCAAAAGGAGACAGGAAGAGAGACGTCAGTTACCCCGCTAACGAGCCGACCGGCTTCAGGAAAAATGAAATCAGTGCAGACCTCATCTACCATTACCAAACTTCACTGCTCCTCCACGATAACCTCCTGATGACACAGCAGTTGCCTGTCCCAGCCTTTAAATCTCATATGCCCGTGATTTATATCCAATGTGATGTTTACACTTGTTCTCTTCTGAAATCACTTCTGATGTTGTAATGTGATCAGTGAATTCTAAGAGTTTGCAAGGAAAATCCTTACGTACCTAGGCTCGGCAGATTATTTAATAGGGACAGTATATTTCTCAGCCAAATGCCAATCGAGAGAGAGTGTTGATCTCACCAGTCATTGCTCTACTTCGGGGGAAAACCCACTGAAACCTGTCTCTTCCAGGGAGCTGTCATTTAAGAAAGGAGATACTGTCTACATCCTCAGGAAAATAGATCAAAATTGGTATGAGGGAGAGCACCACGGCAGAGTGGGCATTTTCCCAATCTCCTACGTCGAGGTAGGTCCTTTCCTTTCCCTCTTCCGTGGTCGTTGCTTCCAGATTCACCACAGATCAAGACTAAGTCCCTGTTTTCCGTCGCAGAAACTCATACCTCCCGAAAAAGCACAGCCTGCAAGACCCCCTCCGCCAGCGCAGCCTGGAGAAATCGGAGAAGCTTTGGCCAAATATAATTTCAGCGCTGACACAAATGTGGAGCTATCGCTGAGAAAGGTACCCCGGCTGTTTTCTCCAACAGCGCCTTTTGAAAGGCTCTTATTTTCAAAACTAAAACTAAAATAGGTTACCTTTTTCTTAGACATTTTTGTGCTTCCCCCACGTGCTACAAAGGACTCTATAAGACCGCCCCCAGGTGCCGTTACCCAGGCTCCTGTGTCCTTCCAGATGAGGTCCCCTGCAGGACACAAAGCTTCTCGCAGCGACCTTCCCTCCCGGGCTTAGCAGGGCAGGCTCCGACTCCTCTCTGAGGGGCGCCTGGGGCTGAATCTCCCAGACCTCTCTCTGTGGAAACATCAAAAGGAAAAGAACACTTTCATGCACCTCGAAATATTGTTGCCCTGCTGCTTTATTATTCAAATTTTTTTTCAAAAATACTGTTCCCACATTTAATTTTATCTTGGCATGAAGGAACGGTCCTCACATAATGCAGGTACTTCTCGCGCCGGAGCCTTTCGGAGAAGTCATTTGCGCAGTGCTCCTGCCTTGATCAGCACCCTCTGGGCCTCAGGACCGACCCAAATTCCACTAGCAACTTACCCAGTTCTAGGAGCTCTTCTGAAGAATGTCAGGAAGAGCCCCTTGACTTGAAGCAACTTTACACAGTGAAGAAAGAGCAAATGAACGATTTTCATTCTGTGAAGCTTAGCCGTCATGTTCGTGTGCTGGCAGCAAGCACAGGTCTGCGCAGAGGAAAGGCTGGATGGAGAGTCACCCGCATGGTGGTTCTAGAACCTCATTGTCCATCAGGGCAGTCCTTAGCCAGGAGCAAGGAAGAGAAGCCCCACTGTTCTTATCCTGGCAGAGCCTCCTCCTGCTCTCCCCTCTGCGCTCTGGTCCAATCAATTCTTGTCCCCCTATCCAGCCTGCAACACAGCTTCTCACGATCCCAACCAGCTTCTATTTCCAAGTAAAAGAGAATCTTCTATCCATGCGATTTATAGCTCCAGCAGGAGCCTAGCCTCAGTGGGGTGTGACCGAGAAAAATCAGTACAGATTTTAAGAGTGGAAAGATTTGCTTTTCTTCAGTGTGTCCTGCCCAGTGCCAGTGTGGGATAGGCTCTAGGAAGACTTGCGCCTTGAGCGTCCCCTGAAGGAGGTCACCCTACTGCGCTGAAGCTTTGACTCTGTCCTCCTCTAGGCCCCATCAGCAGCCCAGACTTCCGTACCACCTGCTGGACGCGGCTGCGGAGTTACTGCCATTTAACCACAATTTGCTTATTTATTTCAGAGCCACACGTGGTTTCAAGTCGAAATTTCAGCTGAGTTTTGTGTCATTGGCACGATCGCTGCCAGTAGTAGCAATGGTAACCGTAGAAAGTTCTATTATTACTAAAGCCAGGGTTTCTGTGAAAATGTCTAATGACCACCTTGGCGTTGTCCCCAACCAGCGAGAATGGACAACGTTGCTACACCATCTTAACGCAAAGCAGGTGGAGGTCAGTCCTGGCTGTGGAGGGGACTATCTTTGCCCCGTCCTGCTAGCCATACTCTTTGCTGCTATTTACCAGGTGTAGATCGAGGAAGAAAGACAGTGTGCCCTTCAACATCATCCCTTCCAGAGGTTGAGTTCCGCAGTCCATTTCAGACACACTAGCAGAGCGCGCTGAGCTGCACTTCCTGCAGAAGAAGGACATTCCCTTGAATCCGTCAGTGATAGGATAACGTTACTGTCAGTGAGATTTTCCCTGTTAAACTAGTCTGCTAGGAAACGGATTCTTAAACTAGTTAAACTAGTTTTAAACTAGTTAAACTAGTCTTAAGGAAACGGATTCGGGTCCTTCCACATGGTACCAGTGTAAGAACATGTGTAAGCCCATTCCCATTAACTAGGCATCCCTAGGGAAGATTCTCATGTCATGAACAAATGATGAAATTGCCTGTATGTAGATGATCTGTGATTAGGAGTGAACTCAGTTTATTTGTGTTCTCCTTACAAAAACAAACAAACAACAACAACAACTAGGGGTATCAGACTTTTCCCAAATGGAAAACTACTGTTTATCAGACAACCATGATAATTACACTTTTTTGTTGTTGTTATCACGTCTCTATTTATAACCCATTTTCCTAATATTCATTACAGGGAGATAGAGTTATTCTTCTTAAAAGAGTTGATCAAAACTGGTATGAAGGTAAAATTCCAGGAACCAGCAGACAAGGCATCTTCCCTGTTTCCTATGTAGAAGTTATCAAGAAGAATCCAACCGCAGGTGCTGACGATTACCCCGACCCTCCAATCCCCCACAGCTACTCTAGTGATAGAATCCACAGCTTAAGTTCCAATAAGGTAAGAAGACATTCTAGCATATTGGTATAATACTTGGGAGCCCGAAGTAAGATTGTCAATATGTGACGTTTGGCATTAGACTAGAACATCAAATCTATTGCAAAGCACAAAATGTATATGTTATATTTCTAAGAGTGCGTGCCATGTCAAGTCAATATAGTTTCTTCTACTGAGGGGCGCTAGCACAAAGGTTTAATGCTGGATTTTTATAATTTTATTTTTCGAATTAAAATACTGAAGGAGAAAACGTTAGTATCACAATTATCTCATACGATATATACATGTGTACATGCACATGTATCTGCTTTTTGAAAATTTTTCTGAAGCTTGATTTTATTTTTATAGGTGCATCTTTTACATAGATTTGAATAGGAATAAGTCATATATATAAGTATATGTAGATAGATAGATCTCAAAATGGTCTCAAGGCATGGTAATTAAGTTGACAAAATTCTATAAAAGTCTTGGTTTTTTTTTAATACAGAAAAAGAGAGAGGAAAAAAATTTAATTAAGGTTTGTAAGTCGGTTTGCTTATTAGTTGGAATGAACATGTCATTGGTTATTAAGTTTAGGGTGATTTTGTGTCAGAACTACTGTCTCTCTTGAGCTATTAGCTGAAGATCATTATCTTTCTCAATATCTTTCTCAAAAAGGGACTTTGCTTCCTGAACTGGTTAATTAGAAAAGGCTATTTTCCTACTTTTCTTACTCACAGTGTGAATTTTTCCTTCATTTTCTATGGAATTATAATATGTTGTATTCTTCTCATGGATGGTATTTAGGGATTTCTTTCTCCTTCTCATTAACTTTCAAGTGTAAAACTTAAAATTACCAAGGAACTGTTCCACTTCCCAGCATTTTGAACATTTTATTTTGCACAATTTATTAACCAATTTGACTGGGACATAGAAAATAAACCATTTAGAGCTAACAAAATAACATCAGGGTATCAAACATTATTCAAGTGTGAAGTCATCACGTCCCAGTACAAAAAAGCATCCCAGGTGACCCAAAGTACTCCTTGACAAGGAGCCTAGAAGGATTTTACATATGTAAATGATCGAAGAGTTTACCCTCTCAAGAGAAGCATTCTCTTTTAAAAGGGCATTTTATTTATTCTACTCCTCTTTGAAGACTAGGTTTCAGCTGCTGGGTAATTGCTCTCAATCCTTTATCACTGGATAATATCATTGGGTAATAGAACAGTTTGGTACTCTCTGATTTTGTCTAATTATAAAGTTTTTCAGAAGCTCCTTCAGTATGTGTATTTCACTACCAGAGGTTAGTTCTAGAGATCCAACGTCCTTGCTTCACAGTTCCTACTGATAAAAAGAAAAGATCAGAATCTTCATCCATATATCTGTCTTAATTACCCTTCAGTCATCTCAAAAGAACTACCAGCTAAATTTCAAAGAGGCCATACCTTCAAAGAAAATTTTATAAGAAAGAATAAGCATGCATCTACAAAGCCTTATTTAACATGTAAGAAATTCTTCCATAATGTCCTAACTAATACTGGCAATGTAATATTATAGATCGCAGCATTTTAATCTTGATTGTGAATGATTTAAATGTATTTTCAGTTTCCTAGGTTTTTTTTCTTAGAACACCAGATTTTACATTTTATAAATAGAGAGATTTCACTAATAACTAATTAGTGTTTATTCTCAACTGCTGGGAAGAAAACATGTTGAAAAGCTCATGTCTATAATTTGAAAAAAAAAATACTTAATGGTTTCATCCCATCTGGTAATCTATGCTATGATATCACTGGCTTAATGAAGGAAACTTCTCAGGAGTGTTGAACTGAATCATTTTCAGAAAAGGAACTATAGTATTATATATCCTAGTTTCTAACTGATATTTGCAAATAGAGAAGGAACTCATTGACTCTTCAATCACTCTTTGACACACTCAAATCACATTTCTCAACATACTATCTTTATGTGAGGGGAGATTCAAATGTTGACACTATTTCTGTGTTGAGTGTAGTGGAGTCCAACTCTAAGGAGAAAAGATAATTTCTTGATTTTCGTATTATAGGTATATTTATGTTATATAGGCAACTCAGATACTTGGTTTCACTGTTGGCAGAATCAAATCCATTGTCAAGCTAAGCACTTTGAACCTGTTAGCATACGTATTGCCCACCACAGTCCGATAAAAGGAGCAGGCAGTGACTGTGATAGTGGCAGTCCTGACAAGAGTGGGATTTAAACGTCTTTCTTCCTCATCCACATAATATTCCTGAGCATGAGAAAAAAGGGAAAGTGAAAAGTCATAATCCTGAATTTTTACATATTTCACAGATTTTCAAATTCTTTTATGGCATTATATAACAAAGAGCATAAAATAGAACACTGGCTAGTAAGAGAACTCCTCTAAGCTATCAAAGGAGACTTAGGTAATTTCTGTCTTATTAAAAATTGAACACAGACAGGACTTGCTAGGAGTGGCTGTCTATCTACTAACAGACCACAGTGTAGTATCACTTTCTATCAGGTACTCAGCAGCCTTTAGTCCCAAATCTTCCGGTAGAACACTCACATGAGCTTTGTGACTCTTTGCCTCATTTATCCCACCCCCTGCTGACAGGAAATCATATTTCCTTTAAAAAAAATAGCTAGATAAATTCTATTAATGCCCCATTCCTCTTATAACACACAGAAGTCAAAATTACGTGGCCCTAGGACCAAGAGTGCTGAGTACATGAGTCAAGTCTCATCCTAAACAACCAACTAGAAACTAATGCATCTCCAAAATCTTCCTTGAAGATTTTTTTCTTTCCAAACCCAAACCGTCTACCTAGAGAGAATGAAAGTAAAATGCCATCCATGTCTAGCATTCTTTCTAGTTCAGCAACAATAGATAAATGTCTTAGAATATTCCTAGGCGGAGCTTCTAGAACTATTTTTCAGGAATTTCCACTAAGATTCTGTTTTGTTCAATATGTCCGAAATCTAGTGATAATATTAAGATACACAGTAGTATATTTTTGCCTCAGGAGATTAAGTTTCATAAATTATATTCCACAGGTTTACATAAAGGAATGGGAGTCCTAGCAGAAGTTAACTCCCATTAAAATCATATGTCCCTTTTCTATGTAAACTTTTACTTTGGATTTTTTAAACTTTAAAGTAGAAGTTACCATAAGTCAAGTTGTGTTCTGATGATGAGTTTCTGTTCTTGAAAACTATTTTTCAGAATTTATTCATTTGGAATGTGTTCATGCGTAATGATGTAAAAATATCTTATACCATATGTATAATTACCTTGCAAACATAAGTGAGAAAATTATGGAAGTTCCAAAGTTTTGGCACCATTTCGGGAAGAAAGAACACTAAACAAATTCAAGGGATAAGAAAAGGTTTCATTATTGAAAACTTCATTTAACAGTAACATTATTGAAACCTTCATTTAACAGTAACATTATTGAAAACTTCATTTAACAGTAACATTATTGAAACCTTTCATTTTACAGTGACATTATTTCAGAGAAACACTAAGTCAGTATCTGAACCCTAGTTTAAAAGAGCTAATCTATTAAATAAAATCACTTGCGGTTTCACGGTCTGACCTTGTGATCTCTACAATAGCTTATCTTATCCTGACACCTAAGATCTCTTACCAAATACTAGGAGAGTTTCCGAGTTCAGATAACCTTCTAGTTAACATGCTAATGATTTCATTTAAAGTCAGCAAAACATCTTTGAGTCGAAACTGTCACATAAAATATTTTTATATGTATGACCATACCTTTCCTGCATTTCTCTGTCTCTGTGTTTTGATGTATTATTATTATTATTACTTTCTTGGTTTCTTTTTAACGCCATAATCCCTGCTCATTTCTAAGTTGGCTTCCAGGGAACCAGCCCCTGCTCCCATGCACAAAGCTTCACCTGGCTCAGATAAAACAGCCCCTGGGTGGCTGTCCCTGACAGCCACGTGTCCACCGGCAAATCCTTTGACCCCAACGCCACCTCCTTTTCTGGACAGCTTCTTGGATGAATTAGAGAAGCTTGGTGCTTTCACCTTATCAGCTGACCAAGGCAAACCAAGTATCCTAGAGGAGATCCTTGAAATCAAGGAGGAGCCCTCAGTACTCCTCCCGCTGCCTCCAGCTTCTGGACCTGCCAAGCCAGCTTCCTCTCTGCTACCTTTCCCCGGCTCAGAGGTGACCTTGGCTGCACTCCAGCCTTATGAGGCCAAACCACTGCAGGATTCCAGAAAGACAACTCAGAACAAGTTTGCCTATCTGACAAAAATGGGAAAGGGCTTTGGAGGCCCTGAGAAAGTACCTAAAGTTCTAGGTGATAAGTTTGTGGCCTCTGCACACACGAATTTGGGTCCCTTGCCCCAATGTCTCCCTGTCATTGGAGAGGAAGATGAGGATATCTGTGAGGGGTTTATGTCAGGCATCCAAAGAGGGCCAGAATCTCAGGAACCAGGGGCCCTGTGGTGTGCCCATGATGGCCCAGAGGCCACACCAAGCCTGCACATTGAAGAGGAGGAAGAGGAGAGGAAACCCGCCTGCTTAAAATATCCTGTAGCCACCCCCACAGATCCTAGGACCCCTAAGGAAGACAGCAATGCAGCGAAGACCAGTAATGAGGTATTTTAATCTTGCCTAATTACTGAAGAACTAACCAGTCTTACTATATTTAGATAGTACAGTTAATCACATTAATAAACATCAATTTTAGCACTGCCCTACAAGGCATCCTCTTAAGAAACACAAGCACTGCCTAAGCTGGGGGGTGGAGGAATGGATGGAAACACACCAGATTTTAGTAAGATGACATAAATATATGATATAATTCCAGTATTTATTTGTGACTACAAATTCATATTTAAACAGTCTATAATGTATAGTCTTCCTGATTTTTGTTACTAACCGTGATAGCTACAGAGTTGAGCTCTTACTCTCAAACACTGTTCTAAGAACTCTTCATCTTTACTTTTCATAACTCAAAGAGGTGGTTATATTAGTAACCCCACT